CCCCCCCCGCCCTCGGTACACACACGCGTGTGCCGCCTCGCCCCCGCCTCGCCCCCGCCCCCGCCTCGCCCCCACCTCGCCCCCGAGCAATGGTCTATGAATTGCAGTGTTGTTTAGGAACTAAAAATTGGTTGTGATGCCTAGCATTGAGGGGGTATTATTTGACTGTCGTCATTAGTGTGCTCCTGTATGAAGCCTGTTGCTTGAAGGAACTTGAGAATCTCTTGATCGGTGGGTTGGTGTACGGTGACCTTGGCGTCTCTATTAAGCATTGGGAAGGCACCTTGTGTCGTCTTGACCATGGGAAGCCGGTCGTAGTTCTCTCCCAGTTGTGGGTTGAGTTTGATGACAAGGGAATTGTAGTGTCCGAGAGAAACATCGACTTCCTTCCTGACTTCTTTGGAACAGCCGAGGCCTCGTAATTTGCCGTGGACAAGCCGCGGGACATAAACGTCGACCGCAACAAGTTCAGGCTCTAGTCGCAAGCATTCTATTTCTTCCTCAGCTTCTGTTCCTATGTCCCTAATTACCGGTACAATGGTGCTTGCAACAACGACCTCTTTCTTGAGGTCGATGAAATTGTCGACGTTGACCTTTTGTTCGATTATTTCTTTCCTTTCAACTTCCACGATATGCGGAACTTCCATTATTCTCTCGACGATCTTGGTTTCGATTTTCGGCACGTACTTGACATGTTCCACCGGCCGTTCGACGATTTGCTTTTTCTTCACGTATTTGGTGGTGTACTCCACTTTCTCCACCTCCACGTGCTTCTCTACCACGTGCACCTCTGGGACCTCCACGATCTTGTCTCTGTACTCGATCTTCTGCACGGGCACCTGCCTTTCAATGACCTCTTTTCTCTGCGTCCGCAAGCTATCCATGGTTGATGATCCACGTCCACTGACCAGACGGCCTCTGCCGTCGCGACCACCCACGCCGTCCCGTGAGCCTTCCTTCACGCCTCTGCCCTTGATACTCATCACGCTGTGCTGGTCCTCGCTGCAGCTTTCTCTGTAGACGCGCCGGTAGCTCCCTACATCATCTGAAGTACTCATGTCTACGGGCGTCAGCCCGTTGCTCACAAGGGCGCCATCAACCAACTGCGAGTACAGTGGTTGTTTCTGTTCGTTAAAGAACAGTACGGTAAGCTGCGAGCGGTTTACTTTGAGGGTCTTTTTCGGATTGTGAGGGTCCTGGACGTTTTTCTGAAAGCCCTTAACCGGCACAACGTATTGTTCATCCGTGCCGTCTTGGCAGTCGATAAGCCACACGTATTGGGCGGACGAGGCAATACCGGGATGCGCGGCCAGCCCCGGGCGAATTTTGCGTTTCTTCCCGATGTACGAAAAGGCCGGCCGACCAGAGCCGTCATAATAAACTGTGATCACATTTTCATCCTGAATATCCAACATTCCTCCGTCATTGAGCATTACCTCGGTTTGGGTGGGTGAAATGGGGACGGCGTACAAAAGCTCCGAGTCGACTAGAAAGTCCTGCACCTTGATACCTACACCTGGTTGGTCCAGCGCCCAGGACTGCCTGCGTCCATCCGGAAAGATGGTATAAAGCGGGAACCCCTTCAGGTCATGGGTTACAACGAAGGTGCGGTTCACCTCGACGCGGATACGATCACCGCTGACCAACTTCACGTGGCTCTGCCCAGGCGCCAAAGGGATGGCATAGTCTATGTTCGCAGGTTTGAAGTAGGCCTGACGTCTCGAAATCTCTTCATCATCCCGGCTGCTCTCCTCACTGCTCTCTTCGCTGCTCCTGGCACTCTCCTCTCGACGATAACAACGAGCCGCACCTCGCCGGTGTCCACTCGTGTACGCACCGCCCTTCCCCCCCTCACGGAATCCTCCTTCGCGATGCCCTCCTTCGCGATGCCCGCCTTCGCGATGACCGCCTTCGCGATGACCGCCTTCACGATGGCCGCCTTCACGGAACAGTTGCAGCCCCTTGACTGAGGCCTGAGGCGCAATCGCTCCGAGCAGACTTTCAGCCGCGCCGGCTACGTACTCCCCACCTTTATTGCGCTTGCGCGAAGGCCGCACCTCCCCGGGCGGCCTAACGCCCGGTAGGGCCGTTCCCGGTCGGGATGTTCCTTGTCGAACTGTTCCCTGACGGGCGGTTCCCGGCCGGGTGTGTTCTTCCTCCTCTTCTTCCGGGTCCTCCTCTTCGTCTTCCCGGTCCTCCGACTGGGCCTGGGCCTCAGTGCGGCGCGCACTGAGTACATGTTGGCGTGGTGTGTCTTCGGTCGTTTCGAGTGTGATGTGGGGCGGCACAAAGTCGCGCACATTTGTTACCAGACTGGGGCGCCGATCTGCGACGTAGGCGCCGATTTCTTCGCCGTGTATGTTGAGTAAAACGACGTCGATGTCTTGCGGCAGCGAAGGGTCGAGAACAGAGTGGTCTGCCAAGAGGGCGGCGCCGCAGTGCGCAGCCATCTTGACGACTTGACATGGTTTCCGGCGCTGCCTTGCAGCGGGTATGTAGACGTATCGGAGTGCGGTAGCGGCGCCTGCATGTGGTATGGCGCCTGGAACGAGTCCGCCGGCAGGTTTTCGGAAGCAGATTGCGACTCCAGTTTCGTCGAACAGTGCGACATGCACACGTTTTTCCGCTGCTTGTACGGCCTTGGCCGCCGAAGATGTGGCCATGGGTAGCGCCTCATCCGCTAGCACACGCATGGGTACGATGGCCGCAGGCACTGCCGGCTTGTCGGGCAGACCTGGGGTCACACGGCCTGTGCTTAGCGCACAGGAAAAGTGCGCCAGCCCTTTGTCTGAATAGAAGATAGTGTGCACGTCTTCGGCGCAAATTCTGTACAAGTCACCGTCCTTCAGGTGCACGATTGTCTGACCAGGGCAAATGGGGACCGCCTGCCGTAGCTCCGACGATACCACCACCGACTGAGCAAACTTGCCTAGCCCCGGTTTCTGCGGAATCGGCACTTCCGGCTCACCCTCCACTCCCCCTGTACTAGCGCCTGTACCCGCCGCACTCTGGCAGAAGCCACGCCGACACTCGCTTACGAACCCCGAGGGCCCGTAGCTACACGTAACCACGTCCGCCGGATCCACTGGCAAAACACTACCGTCTGCCAGCTTCACCTCCCGGTCGAATGGGGCCACTGGAATTGCGATGTCTAAGCCATCGCTTATCACATAACTTTGGTAAGTCCGGGCAGTCAGGTCGTCCACCTCCTCCCGCAACAACCGAGGCTGCTTCGCCGTCGACGACAGGTCGCACGTCGTTGATCCCACGCTGCTCGTCGAATCCGTCCGCCCACGTGCATCAATCGTCATCACCGACTCGGGCGGGAACTTCCGAGCCAACTGATTTACAACTCTTTCCACCATCCTCTCCGGCTGGTCCAACGTGACCGTGACCTTCGCCTAAAACCACAAATGTATACGATTCGGTTAACCTTAGGCAACCGGTCAGCTCCACGAGTTCCATCAAGTTTTGTTTTGCCATTCTCCTTGCCCGAACTGCTGCCCTTTATCCTGCCTCTGATCGATGTGTTCCGAGTGAGTTTTACCTTCTCCTGCTTCTCCTCATTAGGATTGGACAATGTGATCGTCACTTTGCCCCTAGATGGGGACCGGTTACTGGGCGGCATGTCAAGGAAAAAATAGAATCAAAATTTTAAATGGCCTTCTTCGCGCTGAATACTACCCCAACCCCCTGTACCAACAACCTGTACCAACAACCTGTACCCACCACCTGCACCAGATGCCCAGTCGTGGCGGTTGGGGCAAGATTCCTGCAGCGATCAACTGATTGTGTGTGGGCCAACTTGGTCGTGTGGACCAACTTGGTGGTGTGGACCAACTTGAATCAGTGAGCCTGGTGGTAGTGTTCTTTTCTCGCGTGAGTTCTTGAAGGTAGGTCATACCCGTGCAGGTGGGTAATACCCGTAGGTCATACCCGGCAGGTCATACCCGGTAGGTCATACCCGTGCAGGTGGGTCACACCCGTAGGTCATACCCGGTAGGTCATACCCGTGCAGGTTAGGTCACGCAGGTGGGTCACACCCGTCGTTTGTTGCCGCTCACAATCGACTTCAAATCCACTCTAAATACCAGCGAATTTTGCGTGTTTCCAGCGGCCATGAATTTGCTCAAGTCATGGTCCGTTTTGAGTCCCAAATATTTGGGGAATGCAAATGCCTTCCCTTCAACCGCGGATCCAAATACATGACTGACAGACGTTGATGGAACTGCGGAAGATTTATGTAGGGTGTAATTCAAAGGTGTGTGTAATTCAAAGGTGTGTGTAATTCAAAGGTGTGTGTGTA